ATGATGCCATACATTTACTTTGGTCTAATGAAGAGACAAATAATTTCAATGCCCTTATGCTCAGTCAAATCCCAACAGAAGCTTTCCTTTCAACTGCAAAGACTCAGTTAAAGGAATTGGTTAAATGAAAATTATAATACTTTGGAAAGAGTTAAACTTTTCAAAACTCTGAAACGCAGGGCCTGCCCTATGAATTGACACTAGAAACCTCCGCCAAATATATGATTACAGTGAACATAAACACGTGTGATGGCTTGGTTAATGGGGCAGCTGCACAACTTATGCATATTGATTTCCAATGTTCCTTTCCAACAATCTGTGGATTAAATTTTAGAACCTTCTGTTGGTTTGATAGCACGATCAAAAAGCCTCATCCTCTAGAAGTTCTTGGACACCAATTGAAAAGTTCTAAAATCTATTCAATATAAAAGAAATGAACAAATTTCAATTGAAAGAAATCAGTTTCCAGTTGTTCCGGCTGAGGGAATAACTATTCATAAAGTCAGGGTGCCCATATAATAAAGTTGTAGTTCATACTCGCCAGAATGCCTAGAGCTTCAATATATGTCGCTTGTAGTCGAGTTACTTCTGCAGAAGGTCTATTCATCATAGCAATTTTATTCTCCTAACAAATTTTCTAATCGGATCCCGTATTTAGGGAACTGAGGGAATTGAACACAAATAAAGCTTTGACAACAAGTTTCAATTTTATGATTTCCCGAACATCAGGACATCAAATTTTATTTCATAATGTTCAGAGTCTTCACGCTTGCATTAATATAGATATAAAAAGCGACTGTTTGATGCTATCTTCATAGCACGGAAACAACCAACAGAAATAAACGCGGGCATTATAATATATGCAAAGCATAGTATTGCCTGCTCTATAGAATCAAAGGCTGTAAAGAAAATTTATTCAGGCCGCCAAGTTTTAGAAGCGGTTTTGTTTAAATGTTTCAATATTAATATTCTGGTTCTATATAGAAATTCAGCTTCTCTGTCAGACAATTAATTGTAGAACTTCAGAAGTCCTTACTTCTAGTTAGGCAATCAAAATGTGCTAATTGTGGAGATTTTAACATTTGTTTAATGTCTACTGGGACTGCAATAAGAAATCTGTTCCATGAAAAAACTTTAGTTCCCTGCTTGGTGCAGAATATTCAACTACACCTGCCGGTACACAATTGATTGGGCATTTTAATGGATCCTTCCCGTGTAAATGCAATTATTTTGAGACAGTACACAGCTATCATGACAGTATTTGTGTCTCTATTTCGAAGTAAAGTTTTTAGACTTAGTGCAATAGTTCTTAATTTTTTTCCAAATATAATCGAATTCGAATGGTATAGGAATTTTGACAGTAGTTTTAAGACAATTTTAAGAAAAATATGTAAATAATCTAATTAAGAAAATTTAAATTATATATATAATTTGTTATTATATATGACATTATTGTATAAATATATTATAGAAATTAAATAGTATAGGAAAAAGAAATATAATTTGGATATATGTATAAGAATCTCTACAAAATTTATGTTTAATATTGTAATATTATATACAAATTAATATAATATATATTATTATTTTTAAAGTTGTTAATATTTATTATTTTTAAGCTAAACATGTATAATAATAACGATATAATAAATAAAAAATGTTATTCATTGTCCAAAAACGATTTCTTTTCATACTTCTCAATACAGTTGTAATGCATTCTATATAAATTCAATTATAAGCGTATACAAAAAGCACAAGAGCGATTTCTCATAATTTGAGTAAAATTATTTTACAAATTGCTCTAATTATTTTCACTGTGAGTGAAATGTAAATAACTAAGGCAACAGTTCCTACTTCTAATTATTAAAACATATAAAGAAGTCTCCATCGAATATACCATTTAACTTTGCTAGAGTATAAAATGTTCGGTTACATCCGAACTTAGCCCTTTCTTACTTGTTTTTCTGCGTTTGCAGGGTTGTCACTTTTCCCTTCTAGGGAACCTTAGTTCAATTTATGATTTCTAGCTTTTGGCATCGTCGCGAAAAGGCAAACGCATGCTCGGGGAGATGTGTTTTGCTTTTATGAATGAACCGACTTAGCTTATTGCTTGTGCGCTGCCGTTCATGAATGAAAATGTTGTTGGTGTGTGATATACTGCAAATTTAGGATTTGTCAATTTGGCAGCCATATTCTGATTTCTGGTGCTGATGCTATTTGAGACAATTGTTGTTTTTGCACAACAATGCTTGTATTTTTCCTATTGGCTGACGTACTTACATTCGTACTCTTAAATGTATGTAGATTTGTGTATGCATTACTTATTTTGCGCGGTCATACGCATATTTGTACATACAAACTTGCATATACATAGAGCAGTGCGCTCACATGTATTTATTAATAAGTGATAATATATTATTATATTATATAATATAACATATTGATGTACATACATATGTACATACATAAATTATTAATTCTGTAACAATTAAAATTATAAAATTATGAAAATAGTAAAATATCATTTTTAACTTCATCTCCAGAGCCCAACTAAAGCATCTCATCTAAAACCACCATAATAAAATTTGACCACAATTTTCCTATACTAACATATATTGCTACCTCTTAATTCTAAGCAAAAGCATAGACATTAGTATTTAAGTATAACCATAAGTATTACTACATACTTGTACATACATATTCATAAGTAAAATCTCATACAAAAAAGTACAAGTAAAATTAAGCCCACAGCTGAAGGCCTTGTCGCTAGTGCTGTTATATTTTATAGGTAGTATAATTATTTATAATTGTATTTCCTTTAATAAAATAAAAAAAATAAAAAAAATATTTTGTTAACGCAATTTTCTGTACCAACACGATTTATGAAGCGGTCACGGGATCAAAACCACTGGTGGAACTTACAAAAACCACAGAATAAGGAAATTTTTTATGAACATTTTCGTATGAATGCTACTGCGTTGCAGACGCTTTGCACCAAGTTGGATTCATTACCAATACCACCTCTTCCGTTTGCGAAACAAGTGGCAATATACATAAGTGTGTTTATAAATTAGATGCTTGTCCTGAGTACCGAGTAGTAGGAGATGTTTTTGGGGTTCATAAAAGCACCGTATACGAATATTTTCATCGGGTAATTGACGCTATTTTAATTTAGTATATAAAATTTCCAAGAGAAGATGCATTAGTTATTGCTGGGTGAATAAATAATCACTTATGTTCGCCACTTACCGGTATTTAACTTTTGGAAAGAAAAACGATTTTAAAATTAAAAAAAGATTTATTCATTTTGTTCACTACTCGGTGATACTATGACGAACGTTGTGGTCGGTTGGATGTCCAAAAGAAAAAGGGGTGTTGTATGTTTGTGTGTGTTAGTGGGTGAAGTCTTTTTGTGGATTGTGTTGATATGGTCTGTTGGCGCTCAGTGGTGTGCATGGAGGGGTAGGCGTAACTTAACTAGCCACTGGGAAATTTGATTATTTAATATTATTGGTGCTATAGATGGTACGTATATATACATAAGTATATATCATTCGAAGATGATGGTGCCTGGTGTTGCATTGTTGCCACCATTGAGTTGAACATATCCATTATTTCTACGCGGTCTTTTTTTATCATTTTGGATATTTTATCTCTATGCTCCTTTAGAATGTTGCGCTCATTCTGCTGATCTACCATAAGAAGTTTAATAGACGTAATCGGAAAACTGTCACGCCCATAAAACGCCATTGATCGAAAATTTATAAAACGCAATAACTAAGCACTAAATTAAGGTAATTTGGAACAAAAGATTATATTGGGGAGGGGCATCTATGGTCGAACATTTTTTCAATAGTGAGCGTCGCCCCGCCTTCTAATAAGTTAAATGTATATTTCTTCTAAACCATTTAAGCTATGTAACCCGAATTTGCACAGAATATTTTCGTAACTTCCTTCGACAGTGTGAAAATGGATAAAATCGGATGATAACTCCGCCTACTCTCTATATAACGGTTTTGTTAAAAACTACTAAAAGTGCGATAAACCAATTAATAAATGCGTCAGAGACATTAAATTTTACATCCGGTATGGCACAAGGGGGTTTTAAAGGAACCGTTGTCAAAATGGGATGATGGGCGTGGCACCGCCGACATTTAGACGATATCATATATCTCCGGAACTACTGATCAATTTCAACAAAACTTGGTACACAAAATTATTTTAATATTCCCCATTTCATAATAAGAAAATAAGCGAAATCGGACTACAATCACGCCTACTTTCTATCTAGCACAATTTTAAATTTCATATGATTTTATCACTTTCCAGTAAACAAATCAAGCACCAAAGAGTATATTAGGACAAGACTTTCCACAAATAGTGTTTTTGTTGTGTAACATCTTAAGTCTAAAAATTGTCAAGATCGGACCGTAACTGTTCAAGTGCCTGGTGCTAACTTTTTACCGGTAAAACGGTAACGGTAAATCTGTAAGATATATTATTGCAATTCGGAGAGGGTCTCTTTCTGATAATAGTATGCAAGTATTGCAAAAATGAATCGAATCGGGTCAATACTTTCCTTAGCCCCCATATACCTTATCGAAATATTTCGAACTTCCGGTTTACTTCATACCGCATATATCGGCTAATATATAAGCTATTTCTATAGCTATAAAACTCAGTGGATGCATTTCCTTATAATTCTTCAACTTTGTACCTCAAATGAATAAAATCGGGTGAAAGCTTGCGCTAGCCTTTATATTATATAACAAATCACAGAATTTTTAAACATCCGGTTGATTTTACTCCACATATGTTGGTAATGGTATTTAAGGTACCATAATGAAACTCAGAGAGTACTTTATTTTGTTAATAGTATGTTGTATTGCCAAAAATAGATAAAATCGGGTCAATGTTACCCCAATCTCTCAAATGAGGCAGATTGGCCTTATGGTGGCATATATATGTATATATGGTTGAAAAGTTTCTGCTTTCACCAAGAAATAGCACTACAAGCTCGAAATTTTTTGTCTCAAGTTGGTACATCTGTTGGTCGGCAGAAATCCTCCACTGAACCCTCCGCGAGGGTACCGACTGGTAATAGATACCACAGTTTCACGACGTAAGCGGGGACGAGCTGGTAATAGACCGCCTGCCGTAGACGTGACGAATCTAGCTAAGGTCAGACTTCTTACCTGTGTGTTCGTTGTTCCTCAACAGCACAGCATACAGATAAGGAGCCTTACCATGGTCGGGGGTACTATTAAGGGCTGGATCAAAGTGTCATGCAACCCGTGCCGAGGATCAACTTGGCTCGGGGCCCTTAAATAGCCCAGTCTCAAACGGAGCTTACGGATACCTGGCGCCCTCCGTAATATTATTGCCTTACTTGCGTAGCGGGGGATATGCGCAAGCGGACACACATTCCCCACACTAGTGGGACTAATTATATACCAAAAACTAAATAAAATAAACCAAAACAAAAACAAAAATCAGAGAGAGCCCGAATCTCACAAAAAAAGCCGAAGGGGGCCAGTTGCTCCCGAAAAAGAGCAGGCAAGCACAAGTGAAGCGGCAGAAGCTAAAGCTGGCCCCAAGAAAGTAGTAGCGCCGGAGGCAGCCAGACCCAAACCCTGCAGCCAAAACACGGCTGAGAAGCATCGATTGACTGCGCGAGAGCAGTCATACCCAATTTTAAGCTGGAACCTCCAATAAAGGCAGTAAAGCGACAGAGGTCAGCTGAAGAGGCTAAGCCGTCAGCCAAACGACCGAAAACAAAGGGCGTGGCGCCCGCAAAACCATTTGCAGAAGTGGCCCGGAACCGAATTGTCATTGGCATCCTGGATGAGAGGGACCCCGAAGGAAGAATCCCCAGAGCCCAATGGAAATGGCTGCAGGCTGCGCTGACAAATGTAGCGCTGGAAGTGCTACGAAGCAATCCAGGTCCGCCACTGTCATGCACAGATGCCAGCTGGTACCAGGGCCAGATTAAAATATTGTTGTTATTGTAGCGGCAGAATTCTGCCGAGTTGACAGTCCTTGGCCGGAATAAATCCGGGTGAATTCCAGTTACGTAGACCCGACTGTCGTGGGAACTCAAGGAGGCGTGTTATCCTCACTTCTCTGGATCCTGTTGGATCTAGAAAAGAAGGGGGTACATGTTGTGGCCTACGCTGACGATGTGGCAGTATCGGTTAGAGGTAAATTCCCGAATACTCCCGCAAACCTTATGCAAACGATCTTGGACGATATAAATCGTTGGGCTGTATCGTGCGGATTAAACTTAAATGCTGGTAAGACGGAGGTAGTAATGTTCACCAGAAAGCATAATACTCCAGTAGTTAAGGCGCCATTATTAAATGGTTGCAGACTAACAAGTGGAGATAAGGCAAGCTACCTAGGACTAATCTTAGACAGGAAGCTTTCAGGGAAACAAAATTTGGATGCTAGGGTGAAGAAAGCAGCCAAAGCACTCTGCACCTGTAAAAGGCTGGTGGGCCCCAAATGGGGGCTAACGCCTCGGATAGCTTATTGGCTCATGTTGTATTTACAAAAAGTGTGCTCACAACAAGGAGTATATATACATATATATACGGATAGCCAAGCGGTCTTGAAATCATCTTTATCTATTAGAGGATCTAACATCCTACTTCACGATAAACCTGCAATGGGTTCCAGGGCATAGTGATATCCCTGGTAACTGCGAAGCAGATGAACTAGCCAGAACAGGTACCACTCTACAATTAACCCCTGAAAAATGGGGTCTTTTTATGCCTCTGCCAACACTTAATCAACGAACATGCAATAAATCTAGCTAAGTCTCGGTAGAGACAATCAATCACCTGCTCAACCAGCAGACTAACGTGGCAGGAATGGAACGTGAGTCACAAAAACCGACTATTAAAATTCAAAAGGTATGATATAAGAACTCTGATAGGAGTACTAACAGGTCACTGTCTAGTACCTTACAACGACTATTGTAGAAGCTGTCAGGAAGTAGAAGAAGAGGAGACTGTAAAACATCTTCTATGCGAATGTAAAGCTCTATACAGGGAAAGAATCGCAACCATCGGTCGTGGGTTCCTTGACGACGTATCAGAAGTTGCTAATATAAAATTATTTGTACTGATGAGCTTCATCAGGAGCACAGGTTGGTTCAGAGGGGAGACGATAGAGTGAGGGAACATTAGTCCCGTTGGTATCATAATGGGCCTCCTATAGGCCTAGGTGCCTCGTTAGACAGCCACTCTACTTACCTACCTGGTGTATCTGTCATGAGAACACATGCAAAGTTACAAGTGATTCTCTCAATCAATTCTTTGTTTACCAGCAATGTGAAGTTGACGTGTCAGAGTATTCAAAACGCACCATTGAATTTTGTGCTGGTGAATTTAAACGTGGTCGTAATACGCTTGAAGGCGATCCCCGCGAAGGACGACCGAAAGCCGCAACCACACCCGAAATCATTGAGCAAGTTCATAATATTGTTAGTGAAGATCCAAGTTTGACTAAGCGTGGAATTTCGAATGTCATAGGCATCTCAAACGAACGAGTACTTCATATTTTACATAGGGTATTGCATATGAGAAAGCTGTTTGGAAAGTTAGTGCCGCACACGTTAACAATTCAACAAAACTGGATCGAAAACAAATTTCTCAGCATAATTTGAAAAATTTTTAGCAGAATAAAACCGAATACTTACATCGTTTTATAACTATGGATGAGACTTGGATCTACCACCATGATCCAAAATTGAAACAAGAACGGTTACAGTGGACTAAAGCTGGTTGTTCAGCTCCAAAGCAGGTGAAGTCACAACGATTAGCAAAAAAGGTTATGGCATCAGCTTTTTGGGATGCAAAAGGAATTTTGTTGATTGATTATCTGCAGAAGGGTGAAACAATCAACTATGAATACTATTGTGTGTTTTAACAACGACAAAATTCAACGAATGAAAGTACGAATCGCTTGTGCATCCATCATATTCACCAGATTTGGCTCCCAGCGACTACTACCTCTTCAGAAACCTGAAGCAATTCTTCCGTGGAAAGAGTTTTTCGTCGAATGAAGAAGCTATATATAAATCCAACTATTAAAAATAGTTTACCTATTAGTGCATTCGACTGAGATTTTATCTTAAAATATTTTAAGAATATTTCAACTATATTCAAGTTAATTTTTTAATTACTACAAAATATCGAGATTGGCAGCCCTGCGTCGAAAGAGATTGCTCTCTCCCTCTCAGCTCACTCGTTTCTATGGAAAAAATCCAATTTTCGTGGATATCCTACCGTACGGTCTGTTAAAGCGGACGGTAGAAGCGGTGGTGAGTGTTCATTTACATTACAGAGTTTGGCATCCTTTATCTCTGTTAAGTATTGGATATATTTTGAAGTAAAATCTCAATTTGTGACAAGTTACACGATACAGTATCCAGTCTTTAGTCACAAAATACTTTCTCAAAATTATCCCCTCATCGTGTGCAGGTCACAAAACTTATAAGATTTTTAGTTTTCCATTTTGAATATACTGACATTTCACTTATAGAAATCATCATAGATATATATCGATTTTCGGTTTTAATTATTAAAAATTAAAATAAATTTCGTAACTATAGAAAATTTATTATTTGTCATCGACATTTTATTCTCATTCTGGTTTTATATACATCTTTAAATGACGACCTGTAACAGCTGATTAGATATGTTCGTATTCAATTGAGAAATTTTTATGACGCTCGAAAATTGTCTCTAATTTAAAAATCTCAAATTAAGAGACTTGGGACTGTATCAATGTACTGAATTCCGATATAAATACAAAACAGTCCCGACGCAATCAACACAAAAGTAGACCTAATGGGGACTTTTCAGTTAAATAAGATAGTGATGGCAATGAAATTTCTGTGTACTTATGCAGATCAGTGTATTACTAATTGATATATAGAAAAAAATAGATTTTGAAAATTTTTGAGTTATGACTCTTTTGTATTTGGTGTGGGATATATTCCGTTCAAGAAACTGCTAATGGGTTCACCAATCCACTCACATTTATTATGTCAGTACTGACAGTCATATGAACAGTAAAATCTTAAAAAAAAATGTTTACGATTTTTCCAAAAGCAAATTCTGTATACGGCGAAGGAAGACAGCATATATTTCCATAGAAGTTTCGAGAAGTTGTGAAATACTTATGCAGCTGGTATTTCGTGCGATAAACCAAAAGTGTTCCGTGCTTTTTTTTATTAAAAATAAATAAATAAAGAAGGAGTTTTCAAATATAATATACGTAAGTTATTATTAAGTTTCAAATAAAATTATATTTTTACTTAATTTTCATTTTTATTTAAGCATTTTTAAATTCCGAAATATTTATGAACTGGAGAAATACGTACAGCAAAGCTTTTGAAAGGAGCAAGCATGGAATTAATTAAAATTTTCTTTTCATAATTTATTATTTAATTATATTTTGGTTGCACTCCATTTTTATATATGTATATTTATATTATTATAATGAATTTTAATTAAAAGTTTGGTATTATTAAAGAAATAAAAATTATATTATCTACTGCGCAAAAGAATTTTTTACTTGTGATAGATTTACAGTCATAACTGACAATTTTCAGCTATGATAGATTTATTGTCAGCAATGGTTTAGAAAAAGACATAAGAGTAAGGAGTATAGATATATAGTGAATCAATTCTGAACACCCATGCATAAGATGCAAACTCACACACATACGTTTGTTTACATCAGTTTTGCACAAGGCTCTTAAGAAAATGATAGAAACTTTATTCTGCGCGCTGATAAAATTTTTTCAGCTTTGACTATCATATGACCGGTCAGATGGCTGTCACTATTCTTGTAGGGTTAACATACATATGTATTAATATACAATACATAGTACGAGTATATAAGATGTCCATTGTTTGTATTAAATTGAGAGGGTTGTCGGATAGAAAGCTAGTAAGACTATGTAATGTTGATGAACAGTCGGGGGTTCGAATTCAAAGTGGGGGCGAGAGCATAAAAATGAGCTTAGTATTTGGGTATAGATGAAATGGTAAATAGGTTCGCTCGGTAGTTGCACTCTGTAGACGCGTTCGTCTAGTACATTTAATATCGTTCGCTTATTAATGAATTTTTCTTTCGTTTCTGTTAATTGTCAGTCAATGGAAGTTTTCAATGTATGAATACCTTTAAATAAATTCATATTAAGTAAGTACGCTTAGTTCAGTGTGATTTTTCATTCGCGAAAATTCGTGTTTTTATGTCCAATATTTATATATATATATATGTATATACATATATAGCTAAAGATTAAAAAGTTTGTTATTGAAATGGTTATGTCATATGCCTAATTGGTACATTTGCAAATAATTCACAAAGTGTGTTGTGAACATTCGGATTTATTTAAACTGTTTTATCTATGCTTATTTGCACGTAAGTGTATGATATTTGAACGGATAAATATATGTAAATAAAATTTTTTACCATAATTACAATTTTATCCATTACTTTGTTGATTTGTTTAGATTTTTGACATGAAAAATTTTCATTTTAATAATAGTTAGAATACCTGATATTCTAATATCATTCAAATTTCTGAATTTGTTAACGTCAATCTGAATATACATATGTATACTTATGTTCCTATGTAAGTACGTGCTAACCTATGTATGTGTATACTATAATAGTGCTACGAGTACATTGTATTATGTGCAAAAGTACAACTATTTTTCAATGTTTGCTAAACTTTGTCAAAGCAATTTCGACAGTAGAAAGTGTATGCATACCTAAGTACGGCCATGTTCAAAATAATTGGAGTGTTAATACCAGCTATATTTAAATAAACGTTTTTATAACAATTAGTAGGTAAATCCAGCAATACAAGCCTAGCGGCATATCTAACGATATCCTGTAAATAGCATTTGATGCGATAGAACTACTGTGTTACCATTCATTTGTAACTGTGGATTGCGTGTCGGTCGTTCCCCTTATGAAAATCGAACTCATCAAAATACACCACTCTAAGCAAGAACCAAGTAAATTTTCACCACCTTATAAAGAAACGGCTAATATATGTATGTATGCGCAGATGTTTTTGGGCATGCTTGTTAGGGAAAATTAGAATAACAAAAGGAAATAATAGATTTTGAAGAACATTTATATAATGAGGCCAAAATTAAATGTAAAGTAAATTCAATAAAAAAGGTTTATAAAAATTAAAAAGAAATAAAACAACATCTGTGATAGGATTTGAACTCAGGCAATATATTTGATGTAAATTTGCAATAAGGAGCTGTGCTATACAATCAGCACCACAAACAATTACTGAACGGACTGCTCTAATGTACATATGAACATTATCATTTTTGCTTGTTTCAAATAACTTATTTGTATGTGAATATTCTCGAAATTGCCTTTCGACCATTCGCATATCTAAATATATTTGCATATATGTACACATATGTATGTATGTCCCTCAATATGCCTTTTGTAAAAAAATCAAAATCGCGCAAGCGACAAAAAAACGTAGACGCACCATCATCGACCAATAAGATTCGAGCAAGCTTGCGCTTTATTTTCTTCATATTTCATATTACAACGCCAACCAATTCATTCATAAGGAATGTGCGTCCGCTTCAAAGCAAAGTGCGTTCGTTCATAACTCTGCGCCGCGCTATTTTTTCTGTGCGCGTGGTCAACCACATTTAGTTTTCACATGGAATTCCTATCGCAAATGCGCAAATAAATGAAGTTTAAATAAAAATGAATGATATTGAATTTGAATGTCTTCAGTAAAATTGACGAATCAGCAAAATTTCAATTTAACAATTTATATCACTGAAAATCCCACTATCCCCCTCGTATTCGTATGTTGCCCACAAGCTGCTTCCTCACAACATTCGCTAAAAATCAGAAATTGAAGAATATGTCTGATGTTCCCTTCAGAAAGGAGAATTGACACCATGGTGTATTAGCGACTTGAAATATTTTTTAAATATATTTCATATTACTCATTATATATAATATTATTAAATTTATATAATATTGCCATTTATATGAAATTCTTTATTACTTCTATTAGTTCTAAGCACATTTCATATGGTGCTTATGCATGTTTACTTAATATCATAATTTCATTGATTTTCGATTTAGCCCATTTTATCTAAATTCAATGGCATGAAAATGCAGCCCAATCGGAAGTCGTAGTATTTCAAAAGAGCATAAGTCAACTTTCAATTGCAAAGCACTGCAAAAAGGACAAGCGAGACAACATAGCCGACCGACATTGTCGATTCAAACAAATTTTGTCACCTCCGCGACAATGCGCAAAACCCGGGTCAATATGTATGCGAGCTCGTATGTATGTATGTTTGTCAGCAAAGGTGTCATTTGGTGTTTTTCAATGTTTTGTCAGAACTCAATTTTTTGCTCCGCCCGGTCTTCGCGCGAACTCTCTCCATGGACAGAGGCGTTTAAACGGAGGGTTTTATTATATTATTATATTGATTAATTTGTAATGAGAAATGCTGATATCTTACGGCTTATTTACGTAATAGTATCATATTTGAGTAAAAATATAAATACACATAAAATAAACTCGATTAATAAAATTATATCTGAAATAATTTTGTGGCAGTGCGCCCCAGATCCCTCCTTGCCTGCGATCGTTCAACTTGATTCTCGCAAAAAGTGACGAATAAAAGTCATTGTTTGTGCGCGGTAAGAAGAAGCAACCATCAGCGTATGTCTAGTCAAGAATGTATGTGTGATTTTCACATTTGTATAAATACTCATAAATAGGGGGATTATGCAATAAACCCAAACATATGAACATATTTTCCTGAAATATTTTAATTATCTCAGGAAGAAAAATAAGCTATTCAAGTAATTTAATTGAGATAAGCTAAAACCTCAAATAATAAAATAAAATCAAAATAAAACTTAAGATTTATGATTGACAAGATTCGATCGTAAGGAGTGGCATAACTCCTTCACACTTACGATCTGAGCCACCGCAAAAGTGGAATGACGGCCGCTTAGCCACTGTTTTATTGTTATCCTTTGCCTATTAGATATTGTTCATGCAACACACAAAAATGTGTTGAAGAATTTATCTATTAATTACTTATTTTATTTCAATTCTAGGGCTTTAACCAATAATCATCTTATGTAATTCGAAGGATTATTTTATATTACAAAAATTATGATTTATTTGTAATATGCAAATGTAAATCAGCATGCGCATAATTCATTGAAGAACATTGTTTGTGTCTATTTATAGCCTTTTCCCCGTTTCGATCATTGCGTGGTGTGTTTCATATGAGTCGAAGTTGTATTTTTCGATATTCCCTCTAGTGAAACGCTCAAATTAGTACTTTTTAACATTTGCGCCTTCTCTATTTATTAACATTCCCTGCTATAACCTTTTATTAAAAAGAATTCTTAAAGAGATTGAATGATAAGTAAATTTGAGAAAGTGATGGCTATGTTTTCAAAAGCACCTCATTTTAATACTAGTAACAGAAAACAGTACAACAAGAATATGTATGAAATCATCAAACAATTTTGAAAAAAGGCAATGAACCACGCCTTAAATTTACAAAAGAACATATTGTCTAAGGAAAAATGAAGCAATATTTTATGGATAGACCATTTAATGACACAGAATAACGATCCGAAACATATGAATAGAACTCTAAAAAATGGTTTCACCTAAATGAAATTGATACTACGATCTTGCCAGTCTCTTCGCTTGATCAGAACTCTATAGAAAATCTATAGACAGACATTAAAAGAAGTGTAGTCGAACACAGATTCGTTTAAATATTTCATTTGTTTTATTTTAACATAAAATTTAAGGCAACTAAAGTTGAAAAAAAAATTTTACGGAATAAATTCCAGATCTTCACTGCAGAACGTAATAAGCGCTTTGTCGCTCTGTTGGGGACACTCCTACTATTTTGAACATAACTGTATATATGTATGTAAATGTATTAATGTAAAAATTGTTATGGACATAGTCCGATATTTTTTAATACATTGTTTACATCGTCCAAATTATTGTGTATGAGACCTAGCGTGTCTCATACATTATCGTATATCGTGTGTATATGAAAGTATGATTGAAATATACTCACCATATTAGCAAAGTTCTCTTAATAAAATTTTATATTGTGTTCGTAGATGTGATTGAGTGGGCTTGAGTAAAGAATTTCTAGGTTTCTTAATCTTTCTTCTACTTTACTTGTTATCGTTTACGTGAAAGTCGGCGTTTACATGGAGACTCTTTTGTACCTCATTATCGGCGAATTCTCTTCGAGCGAAAAGAGTGCAGCATCTCAAGTCGAGTTTTTCTGGCTTTCCTTTTCACAAAATTTTCGCAAATGCTTATGACATGACACATGACGTGACACTTAGCGTGTTGCATATTTCATTTGTATGTTGGGATGGTGGTCTCACATTTTTCTTACAAGGAACTACCATGCATGTGATAGAACAACATTTGGAATGTCCGATTTTAATATTTTCAAAGAAAAACTTATGATTGAAGTTCCCTTATCCATCAGAATGTATAAAATACCCGCTATTAATATTTTCAAGGCCAAAACTATGGCAGGAATTTCCTAATACATCGGGAAGTATATTATTTTAATTTTTACAAAACATTCATGAATTAATTATATATTTGGTTTTAAATAAAATAATATTCGAACTTTACGTTTATCACATCATCTAAACACATTTAGGTAAATATAAAATAGTAAAAGTAACTCCGTTTTTATTAAAATTCATTTATAAATATTGTTACATTTAATACTGCTAAATGTTATTAAATATTTTTGAGTTTCCTATTTTTATTGTTATTTATCATTTTCCAAAATATTTTTATTATTTCATTTATATTTGCATATTAATAGATAATAAAATTCGAATTTCTGAACGAATCCAACGGATTTTCATTTGAAACCGAGCGCTCTTGCAACCATTAAAAAAATTAGAAAATGAAAAGAAAAGCAGAAATGAGTAGAAGCGTACTGTTACGATCAAGAACTCAAAGCGTGCCACCCGAACACGGTCCCTTCGTCTTTCCTCGACGTCCCTTCGCCAACAATAAACCGGTTTGGTTTACAAAAGAGGATGTGTATGAACTGGGACTAACAAAACTGTAGATATTTATTCATGCTTGTCTGACGTTCTATCCATCTTAATGTCTCTCTTAACGAATTTGGTCTCAGAGAAAAATACAATGCAAGCCAGTTCAACTTAACTGTACAAAATTAATTAAAATGTGTGAACTTTATTTTCTTTAAGCAGCACAACGTTTCGAATAGCTGAATTATCATTTGGACATACAGACTTTCAATGTAAAATACAACACAATAAATTAAAGACAGCTTGTACTGCGCCTGTATTCATTAATTTCATCTGGCCCAGTTAAATACAATAATTTATGAAGATATTATTAGAAATATGTAAGTATGTACATATATAATACATACATATGTATAATTTCAATCTAAAGCATTTATTTCGAAACTGAGTTATTGTTAAATTTAATAAAGTTGCGTGTTAGCACAAACATGGGAGCCTAGTTTTAAAATGGAATGTTTATTCGTTCAAGTATTAGAAAAGTTTGGAGGCTAATGCAACTTGCAAGGATCAAAGCCGGGGAAATACATTCAGGTGTTGGCATAACTATATACTTACAAGTAAAGAAGGGCTAAGTTCGGATGTAACCGAACATTTTATACTCTCACAAAGTCAAATGGTATACTCGTTTAAGATTTCTTTGTGGATTGACTGATATTTTCGGTAGAAGGTCAACTATAGGCACTGGGTCCACATATTTAGTACTTAGGGGCTTGAAAAGTTTTGGTTCGATCTAGACAATTTTTGGTCACCAGGTGGCATACTTTAAACGTATTATTCACGCAAAGTTTTACCCCGATGTAATCATTGTTGCTTGATATGCATAGTGGAAAGTGAAAGAATCAGGTGGAATTTAAAATGGTGTTATATGGGAGGTAGGCGTGGTTGTAGTCCGATTTCGCCCATTTTCTCACTATAACATAGAAATATAAAAAGAATGCTATGTACCGAATTTGGTTGAAATCGGTTAAGCAGATATCAAGATATGGGTTTTCACCTAAAAGTGGGCTGTGCCACGCCCACTGTCTAATTTTGAACGCGGTTCCTATAAAGTCATCTCATACCATCCCAGAGATAAAATTTAATGTCTCTGGAGTGTTTCGTGCATGATTTATCGCGCTTTTAGTATTTTTTAACAGTACCGTTATTTGGGGAGTGGGCGGAGTTGCCACCCGATTTCAACTATTTTCACACTGTAGGTAGAGGTTCTAAAAACATCCAGTGAATTTTGTTATTATAGCATTAGTGGTTTAGGAGATATGCATATGAAACCTATTAGGGGCGGGACCACGCCCACTTTAAAAAAAGATTTAACCGCAGATGCCCCTCCCTAATGTGATCCTAGGTGCCAAATACCAGCCTTGTATCTTATTGTGGAGCTTAGCTATGACAATTTATTTGTTTTTGATTAATGGTGTTTTGTGGGCGTGGCAGTGGTCCCATTACGCCCATCTGCAATATCAACCGTCTCCCGGTACCAAGAAACATGTCTACCAAGTTTCATAAAAATATCTCAATTTTTACTCAAGTTAGAGCTTGCACGAACGGACGGACAGACAGTCACCCGGATTTCAACTCGTCTCTTCATCCTGATCATTTATATATATATAACCTTATATCTAACTCAATTACTTTTAATTGATATAAACAACCGTTAGGTGAACAAAACTATTATACTCTGTAGCAACAGGTTGCGAGAGTATAACAACATTTTATACTTTCGCAACGTGTTGGTAAAATTTTATATTAAAGGAAGTATTGATCTGATTCAATCCACTTTTGACACAAAGGCATACCATTATCGAGAGTTTCATTTATTTATTTTATTATATGAATTTCAATTATATAATATATCTTACACATTGACCGATATTTTCGGTAAAAAGTCAACTATACTCACTGAGGTCCATATATTCAGTACCTAGCGGCTTGAATAGTTCTGGTTCGATTTAGACAATTTTTGGTCACAAGGTGGCATACTTTAAACGCATTATTCACGTAAAGTTTTACCCGGATACAATCATTATTGCTTGATTTGTATAGTGGAAAGTGAAAGAATCAGATGGGATTCAAAATGGTGTTATATAGGAAATAAGTGTGGTTGTAATCCGATTTTCGCCCTATAATATAGAAATATGAGAAGAATGTTATGTACCGAATTTGGTTGAAATCGGTTAAGCAGATCCCAAGATATGAGGTTTCACCTAAAAGTGGGCGGTGACACGCCCACTGTCTAATTTTGAACGCGGTTCCTATAAAGTCATCTCCTTTCATCCTAGAGATAAAATTTAATGCCTCTGGCGTCTTTAGTGCTTGATTTATCGCGCTTTTAGTAGTTTTTAACAGTACCGTTATATGGGGAGTGGGCGGGGTTGTCACCCGATTTCACTAATTTTCACACTGTCGATAGAGGTGTTAAAATCTTTTATTCTCAGTATATTTTGTTATTATAGCTTTAGCGGTTTAGGAGATTACACATTAAGCCTATTAGGGGCAGAAGCCCCTCCCTGATGTGATCCTGTATATCAAATAAGAGTCTTGTATCTTATTGTGGATCTTAGTTATGGCAATTTATTGGTTTTTTAATGGCGTTTTGTGGTCGTGGTCCTCTTACGTCCATCTGCAATACCAACCGTCTTGCGGTATAAAGAGACATGTGTACCAAGTTTCATAAATATATTATATCTTAATTTTAAAAGTTACAGCTTGCACAGACGGACGGGCAGACAGACGTCTCTTCATCCTGATCATTTATATAGGTATATGGTTATAACCCTATATCTAACTCGATTAGATTTAGGTGATACAAACAACCGTTAAGTGAACAAAACTGTTATACTCTGTAGCAACGGGTTGCGAGAGTATAAAAACAACGACAAACCATTTGGCGGCACTCAGATCGATTCAATTTGCGACGCCAACGAAGAGGTGAATTATCGAATTTAGTTTTTGAATTTATTGGATATGACTGAAGGTTGGATCTCCGGTTATTTTGCTTCGTATTTTGAATCCGCTTTGGAATGGCGCAAGATAAGTCATTAACAAATTAATGAAAAACATGGTCTAAGCCACCAATTTGATTGGTATTTACCGAGGCGAAAATCTATTGCTGCAACGAATCCCTATGATTCTTAAAGATGTGCTGATTGAATTCAATCACAATTAACTTCTGTTGAGATTGGCAATGATGATCAGTCACTCACAAGGCCAAAAGTTGTCAGTTTGTGGCTTAGATTTGGGTACACCATGCTTTTCCCAAGGACAACTTTATATGGCCTGTCCTCGCGTGAGCAAAACATGTGTTTGTTTGTATTCCCTAAAGACGGACTGACCCAAAATTTTAATCTTTGCTTATTTTCAATTAGTAGTAGAACAAATTTTCGAAGCAAATATAGCTATCAATAACTGTAATTTAATATATATTTTATTACTTTTTTAAAGAATAATTTAATAGCTTAAATAAAGTATACTTTAATTATCTACAACTCTTCATTCGTCTTTGAATTATAATTACATTTATAGTGATAGCTGTTTCTAAAAATATTTCATAAAAATAACGTATTTGGCAAAAAAAAAAAAACGTTTGCGGAGTCAACTAGTAAATATAAGTAAAAATTTAAATACGTTATATATATAAATTCAGCCGGACATATGTATATGGGTGCTAAGACAAGTTTTCAAGATTTTATTTATTTGAGATTTTATTCGGTTGAGTAAGTCCTGAGATTTGGTTTTTCATCTAAATGTGGATTGTGCCACGCCCATCTTCCAATTTCTACAGCGGATCCTAAAAAGACCTCTTGGTGTAAAAGCTTATAACAAAACCGTTATACGGAAAAGGGTGGAGTTATAGTCCCATTGCATCCTAAGCGTGTTTGGATACTTATTTAATGTTAAGTAATTGCTTGGAAATATATTATATTTACGAGTATACCTGACTTTAAACAGTTAAAGTTGGTCAAAATGTATGACATATCTGATAAAATTAAGTGTACAAACATTTTTTATAAATTATGTGACCTTGGTGTAAACCTCATACCCGTAATGAATTGAGTTCTGATTGTTAGTTGACGTTTTTTATATCAACTCAATATATCAAATTTAGCTGCGTCAGTTGAGTTTATATCAGATATTTGTATATCTCATTTGCAAATGATTTTAATAGAATTTTAACTGACGATAAGTAAAATATACTTATCAAACTAATTGAGTCTATGACTTGTAATGTAAGTTAGTAATATACAAATTTTGTTGTAATCCATTCCTCGAATTCGTCAAACAATGAATTCTGAATTCTTTCGCAACATTTTTTTACTCTTGCAAGATGTTGCTACTGCTCGGAGTCATCAGTGCGATACGTCATCTAGACTTTCAAAAAAACGGGAATTATTACTTCAAGGCCTCGATCTGGACGTCCGACTGATCGGGAAACACGCAAAGTTGTATCTCTAGTAAAGGTTAATCCGCGTTTAATTGCTTCCCAAATAGCAGAAGATGTAAAACTACAATTTAATAAAACAATATGCAGCAAGCAAGCAAGAAAAATATTAAAAAGGGCTGGTTATCATGGGCGAGTTACACGTAAAAATGGAATGAAGCGCATTGCATTCGCAAACGAACATATAACCAAGCCCATCTCTTTCTGGGAATCGGTTTTATGGTCGGATGAGATCAAATATTGTGTATTTGAAATAAAAGGAAGACAGATGGTGTGGCGAGAAACTGTTCAATTGAGGGGGTGTATGGCAGCAAGTGGAGTTGGTGGCATTGAGTTTATCGAAAATATAATGAATAAATTTGTTTATGTAAATATTTTAAAACGACAAATGAAGCAAAGTGCTGACAAATTAGGATTGCCAAACGTGTTTTATTTCCAACAGGACAATGACCCTAAGCATACAGTGGAACTTGTTTGCCTTTGGCTTCTTTACAATGCTACAAAACAGCTACATTCACCTCCACAATCACCTGACCTCAATCCAATTGAGCATTTATTGGCTCTATAGGAGCGCAGAATTTGCACACATACGATTACCAGCAAAGAAATGCTCAAGACCGTTATATTGGACGAATGGAGTAAAATGTCAGCCCAAGATACGAAAAAATTAGTACATTCCATGCCTAAACGTCTAGCAGAGCTCTAAAATTTCGAGACTTTAACTTTTTATAATTACTTGATATTATTGTGTTCTGGTTGATGAGCGGAGACTTTTTTGTTTAAGTTAATTGTTTTTAAAATGAAAATGAACTCTGTGGCTTTTGTTTATTGAATAATTAAAAAAAAAAAGTAAACAAACAGTAACACAAAAAAAATTTCTTAATT